ATGTGCCGCCGGCCCCCTCCTACGCGCCCCCACTCCCGCCCCAGCGAGCAAAGCCAGGTGAGAGCCTGTGGTGGGGTCCTGCACGGGCTGGCAGGGTGAGCTGCTGCAGCGTGGCTCCATCGGCAGAGGGTGGTCTGGGAGGGAGATGGGCCCTCGATGGGGTGTGCGGGGTTGGCTGGTGCCCTAGGGCACCCGTTGGTCCTCTGCTCCTTGGGAGACCAAGGCTGGCTTGGTGCTGCTTTGAAGCGCAGCACAACATATGCTCACCCTTGGAGCTCCTACGCCGGTGATGTTAGGATGTGCTGTCCCCTCCCAAATGCTGCTGTTGGGAGAGGCAGAGGAGCACGTCTTTAGAGACAGGGCTGGGAAGACAAAGCTGCCAACAGAAACAGCAGCAGCATTGCAGTTCTGCTCCTTAGCCAGACCAACTCCCACTGTCCTTGCCCAGCCTTCCCATGGTGTGTCCCACTTCCAAGCTTTCCGGGAGACTCATCAAGTCCTGCCTGACTTCCCCTCTGCTTATCTCAACTTTTTGCTTCCAACCTGATGCATTTCTCAAGTCAGACCTGCAAGCAGAGAAAAGAAAATCCCTGCCCACACATTTGTGTCCATTCTCCCCTGGAGTGTTGCCCCAGGAGCCCTTCTCAGCACCAGCTTGCCGCTGACCCCTGATCTGTGCTTGCTCTGTGTTCAGCTCCCCAGGGGGCATATCCACCCTTCCTTACCGGCTCGTTTGTCTTTGCTGAGGACACAAGAAGCGGGAGGAGTCCATCCCTGCCTCTCAGCATCAAACACAAGCGCACATCCTCGGAGCCTGCGCCCTGGGTACCGCTCAGCCCTGAGCAGCCCAGCCTGACCAGCCTGGCTTCAGGTAATGACAGGACAGGCTCAGGATGGGCAAGGAGCCAGACCACGCTGGTGGGAAGGAACTGCTGGAGGTCTGTAGTCCAGCACCTGCACTAGGTCAGATTGTCGGTGGCTTTGTCTGGTTGAGCCTCATTCATGGATCAGGCCCGTGAGACTTCTTGCTTGGCCGCGGGGCTGGGAGAGCTGTGGCACTGGATGGTGTGCCCACACCTAAGCACGAGTGGGACTCCCCACACCCTGGCTGTTAGACACCAGGGCCTCCAGGGCAGGGTTATTCTAGGGTTTGCTGGGCTGTTGGAGATGCTGAATTCAGAGAAAGGAATGATCCCGTCCCTGTCTTTCAGGCAGTGGATTTGTTTCCATGGGTGTCCCGTGGCAGAAAGATGCCCCCCTCTCCGCACCCAGGCAGGGTGGCAGGCTAGGGGCTGAGGCAGTGGCTTGCACACCACAACCCTTGGACAAAGGGGTGGGTGCTGCCAGCGTCAGCCCCAGGTGCCCCGTGATGGTGGCCAGGCCAGCTGGAGCCTCCAGGTGCCTCTGCGAACCAGCCTCATCCCAGCAGAGCTCCGCAGCGTGGGGAGTGTGGGGGATGGAGGTGCCAAGCGCACCACCCATGGCAGCTACGTCCTCCCCCTGGTGCTGGCAGCTCTTGGGGCACCTTGGAACTGCACATCCCATCTCCCACCTCCTGGTAACAGGCTTCTTACCCCAGCCTCCACTCTATGTTCCGCTTCCTGGCCACGTCCCCTTCCCCTGCTGCCCCTCTCCACCCCATCCCCAGTCCCTCCCCTTTCCAGCTCCCAGACTGATGGGACGCTGTACCACGGAGGAGGACCACGCTGCACCATGTTGCCTGATAGTGGTGGGTGCTGTTGTCTACTCGTGATGAAAGTAGGGAAGAGATGACCAACCTGATTGTGTCATAGGTGCCCTGAAAGCCACGGACCCCCTCTGCACACCTGGCCCCGGCAAAGTGGGACAGCCTGGCCCACATGGATGCCTCCAGGAGCCAGATCCATGTTCTAGCCGTGCCTGGGATGTCCCACCTCTTCTTCCTCGGAGGAGCAGTTTGGTAGGTGGACAGACCAGGACCAGCTCCGCTCAGCTCCCCCATCTGCCCATATTATTCATCTTTTTTGGTTTTGAACGGAGCTGGAGTCAGCCCCAGCAACTTCTCTTCCCAGCACTTCTGCTGTGAATCCCTGGCGTTGACATCTCCCTGCCAGGTGCTGGGACTGCTACCAAAATCCCCATAAGGCTCCACTGCCGTTTGAGGGAAGCCTTGTTTATGACTTTGGGTTGTTGGCAGGTCAGGGTGCAGTTTCGGACACAGACAAGGGTGCAGTGTCCACATTGGCCCTGCTTTTCTGTGCTCGGGGGGATCCCCTTCTCCCCGAGGATGCTGTGCAGAGGCAAAGGCCTTTTGTCAGGGGGGGACCTCTCTTGGGTTGCTTGGTTTTGGGGTTGTGCTGAGCAGCACTGCTGACTCCTCGCACAGACCTGCCCTGAGAGAAGCAGGACCCCAACTGCACATGCCGCGGTCCTGGGGCAGAGGAGCAGGTGCCTCTGGAAGGCTGCTCCAGCAGAAGGAGGTGTCTTCTGGCTCCCTGTCCCACCCAAACTCCCAGCAGTGACCCGCCACCTCTGCCCTCCCTCTCTGCAGGAAACCTCCTGGTCTCTCATCCTTACTCTTCACATCTTTGCCAGGGGCTTTGGGATTAAAACACTAGAACGATTTTAGTTTGTGTCTGATGAAGCTGAGGAGGCCTGATGATGCTCTCTCCTGCTTGCAGAAGAGACTGCTGCTCTGCAGGGTCCGTGCTCTCTATGACTGCGATGCTGACCGGGAAGACGAGCTGACTTTCCGCACAGGCGAGATCATTGTGGTGTCTGAAAAAGAAGACAGCAACTGGTGGGTGAGTGAACCTGTGTATGCTGACCAGTGCTGGGATGTGCGTGATCCCCTATCCACCCGTCTCTTGCCTCTGTCCCATGACTGTCACGCCATTGTCATCTCCTGCTCTGCCTCTGTCTCTCCATCCTCCATCTTTTCCTTGGCAACCAAAGGCAGCCGTTATGGGGCCAGTTCCTTATCTCCCTGAAAGCCCCTGTGCCGTGCTCACTGCTCCTTTTCCTTCCTTTCTCCCCACAGAAAGGGTGGATTGAAGGACAGCCCCACAGGCAAGGTGTCTTCCCTGCTTCATTCGTTCACGTGCTCAATGAGTAGGAGCTGCTTCAATTCAAGAAGGAAGATCGGATCAGCTGCTTAAAATGCAACTTCCCCAAGTTCCCGACGAGAGCCCTAGGGATGAGCGGGCGAGTGGGCTGGGAGCACCAGCTCACTCGGTGCTACCTTCCTCACCCCTGCTGCCCCAGCATCCCTGTCCTCCCAGCACTCTCCTCCCGTGGGTGCCAGCGACACCAGGCTGTCCCAGATAATCCCTTGGCCGGGCAGTGGGAGAGAGCACAGCAACCTACGTGCTCCAGAGCGGTGCTCCTGCCCCAGCCACATCCCCATGCAAGAAACAGTTCTGGCACACTCTGTTACCAAACGCCCGGCTCCTGCCTTGCCCTGACCACGCTGCCCGGCCTGTGGTGCTCCCTGCTCTGCCGGTGCTAATGGAAACGATGGCAGAGCGGCGCGGCGCTGTGCCCTGCAGGGCTCTGGAGATGCAAGTTGGGCTGTGCTGGCACGTAAACCCCGGGGAAAGGGGCTTCTGCTGAGGGCTGAGCATGCTGAGAGCTTGGAAATGCAAACCAGCGCCGAGGAACCAGCACCACGTCGAGCCTGTGCCATCTCTAATTCCTCCCACTCGGGTTTCACTGTTCGTGCTCCGGAAAATGTGGAGCTCAGGCATCGCTCCTTCAGCGCCTGGCCCCCAGCAATGGTGGAGAGGCCCTTTGAGCCTCCTGCCAATAAATACTGGCTCTTTGGTGCTGTGTTTTGCAGGGCTGTTCTGCTTTCAGGCCCTTGATCCTTTCTCTTTGCCGCTCTCCCTCTGGCACCAAACCTCCTCGCAGGCATCAGAGCAAAGAGGGCTGACCTCCCCTTGGATAAAATTACTCGCAATTCAGCTTGCATGGCTGTGGTTTTTTGCCGAGGCACATTTCACAGCCTTCCTCTGTCCTCTCTGAGCCAAAATCCCATCCAGGGGAGCAAAAGAAACCAGCTGGTGGGATGGTGGGTGTGTGAGGCTGTTGAGATCTCCGTGTTGCTGGTGTCAGTGTTGGCAGAAGTTCAACTGTCCCAGCAGGACCCATAGGGGCAGGAGGGCAACTCCACTCCAGGCAGCTTCTCCCACCCTCAGAGGAAAATTTTAACGATGAAAGTCCTGATTTGACCCTGGGAACATGGCCAGGGCATCCGGCTCCAGCAGGACTGGTGGCTGCCACGGTGCTGGGCTTGCGTGGGGGGGCCATGCCAGGATGCCAGGGCGGTGGGTGCCATCGGATGAGGGACAGCGGCCCTGACCTCACTGTGAAACTCACTGTGAAACTCACTGCAAGGCTCTCTTCTCCCCCACGTCACGGTGCAACACTTCCTCTTCCTGTGGCGGTTGTTGCAGCTTCCAACAAGCCCTGGTGAGGCCACTGAGCCTGGGAGCATCACCTTTGCCTGGCCCTGCTCCGCGGCACTTCCTCCAAGGAGGTGAGGGGCCCCAGGGACAGCTGGCTGGGGACAAGGGGGTCGCGACACCATGAGGGCCTCTTTCCTGGCTGCGGGACTGAGGCGCTCCTGGCAGTGTCCCGTGGGGCTGAGCAGGGATGGGGACAGGTCTGTGGCCACTGGGTGCAGCCCAATGCAGCAGTGCCATGGCTGCAGCGCAGTGGCTTGTGGCCGA